ACTTAATGCCTATGGTAATGGCAATATATTCATAAAGCCATCCCCTCTGAGAGGCTGTCCCTCTCTTTTCTGCTGCAGGTGGTTCTGACACACCTCCAGGGAAGCTCCTGGATGGCTGCTGAGCCACTGCCATTCCCAGACCATAGGCACACTCCTCAGGGGAGCCCAGAGGGTTTTTCACTCCAATATTGCATGGCATGAAGAGAGGATCACTTGCACAAGAGCTTATTGCTGTGGGTGACTTCCCCTCAGGCTGGGTACACGGTGGGCAGGAAGGCAGGGCTGGCCTGGGGAGCAGCCTGGCATGACGAAAGGGGAGGTGTTGCAAGCCCTTGTCTGAGTTTTTGAGCAGTTTTGGGGTTTTCTTCCCAGGGTGGTGATTTTACCTGGGATTATGGACTGGAGTATTTGCCATTTGTTCAGTCAGGGGCTGGGTCGCAGTGGGACTTCCTCCAAAATCTCTCTTTATTTTCTCACTCTGGCTATGTGCCTCTCACTGCACCTTCCTTTCTTTACACCTCGCTTTTTGTCTTTCCATCTTTTTACCAACTGTTTGAACCCTAGGCATCACTTTCAAGCTCTAGGTGCCTGAAATTTCCCATTCCCAGAGTCTGCCATTAAACCAGAGGAAGCCAGTGTCAGCCCCCATGAGTTATGCAGCACTAAGCCTATTGTGCTCAGCATTTCCACAGTGGTTTTGCTTCACCTGTTGTCCAGTTGCCAAAGGCACAGGAATATCAGTGGCTCCTCACAGCATAAATGCTTTCCTGCACCCTCCCCACCCAATCTTTTTTTGGGGTGTGCAAATGCACACACATATACCTACCCCCCCTTAGCTCAATGTCTCTGGGTTGAGCTAGGAATTTCAGCAGCGTGGAAGGATTGCTTAAGCGGCTGCCACAGTGGGACCCCTCTTCAAACCATCTCCCTGCTCTTAGATGTCAGATCAAGCCAAAAATTCCATGGGGCCTGACAGCACCCCTCATCCCCCCCAAGCAATACTGAGATGTAGGAGAAATCCTACCATGTGGAAATCGTCCCACCATCAATCTCTGTGACAAGTCAAGTGCTCGACTACTCTCCCCTCTCTCTCTAACACATGTTCTATGACCATTTTCACTCTTTGCCTTTTAACTCTGCACTTCCTGCCCCGGTTGTTTTGTGACTGTCACACCCTTGGTACACCAACCACAAGGCTTTGGTTTTAGCATCCAGGCAGGCGGAAGCTCATTTCAGAGGCAGCTGAGCTGTGCCTCGAATTGTTAAAGGGGTGAAGCTGTTTACGCCATCAGTTCATGTTAGCCAAGACACATTTATTTTGTGACTTTCACGATGGGGCTGGGCGACAAAATGCTTGTTTCACAGAGCTTTGTAAAGACACCATCTAAACACAGGAGGGGGGAAATGGGTGAAAAGGAAGGTAATTTTGCTGTAGCTTTTGGTGGGACACTTGTTTTGCAAGCTTAGAAGGTGGCATGAGCACACCTAATCAGTGGTTTCTCTCTGGCTTGTACCTACCTTCCTCTTTTCTCTGAGGGCTGGTTAAATGCCACTTGTTTATTTGACCTGTTTTTCTCCTTCACTGTTGTTATTATGAGTGATTTAGAAATATTCTGACAAATACAAACCAAACAAGTTACCTTCAAGACATGGAGAAGGAAACAACTGAAAGATCAAAGATCTTTAATTAAAAATTAAGGAGACAACAAAGCAGAAAGCGTCTCTCCTTTCAGTCCTTTTCAGTTCTGGGCCTCACGGACTTAAGCATTTCTTCTTCAGCTACAGAGCACGATGTCCTGTTAAAAATAGCCCTCCAGCTGCCCAGGACAGCTGGAAGTGCCAGAAGGCCAGAGCACTGCGGGTGGGTTGATGCACCCAGGGTGGGGATGGGCATCTCACACTGACTCCTCTGATCACAGAAAGCCCTCTCAACCATCTGCATGACTCTGTATCTGTCCATGGGCCACAACCAAAAGAAGCAGCTGTGAAAAGTAGGTGAGCAAAGCATTTAGTGTAAACAGGAATAAATGCTCCCTAAGAGAGCTCCGTTTTCTCCATGCCATCTTCTTCCTACACATTAAGTAGGTCTGCCCATATTTTTGGAGAAAGGTGTTTCAGTTTGTAGGTCAAATATCTCTTACTATGATTTATCTATCTGGTTAAAGCAGACACTGTTGCCTTGGTGATGCAGTGATGGGACTTCTCTTTCCCTGGGTTACAGTGACTATGGCACATGTGTTCTCCGTTTCCAGGAGCATGAGATAAGCTGAAAGGACAAGTGGGGCTGGTGGGACCTGTAAGCATTTTCAGGACAATGATCTGTAGTCAAGGAGGAGACGCTCCCATGATTAATACATTGCAAATCTGCTCACATTTACTACAGCCTTCTCAGATATTAGGCACTCTCATGCTGGAAAAAATGGACACGTCAAACTCTGAGCTGGAAACACAGGAAAAATGGTATCTCTGTATATCTCTGAGATAGACATTCAGTGGAATAGCATACTGATACATATTCATGGGTATCCATAGAAGGCATGATTTGCTTAAAGTTGTATCAGTTTGATGTGCTCTGTGGGGAGAAGGCATACCCGGGCTGCCCCTCACCAGAGCAGGACTCACCATGGTGGGTGAATGGCTTGCTAGCTACAGCATGGAAAGAAGTTTGGCCCAGTGGGTCATGGACAAGCTATGACATTGATCTCCCTTCATGACTTTCAGACAAGGCACTGCGTCTATATGTATGGGGAAAGCATAGTCTTGTATTGCTTTAGGGGAAGAGAAAGGTTGCTTAACCTGAATTGTTGCTGAATAAAAAAGCATGTCTCAACTTTAAGTTAACATCCAAGACTTTATCCTCATTTTTCTCGAACATCAGCAGTGATGTTACAATACACCAGGCAGTACACATAACCATGAACGGCAGCTACCTTTCATTTCAGCTAAGCCTCAAAGCTGATCCCAAACCCCAGAGCTAAAACTCTTTCTCTCATAAAAAGGGCAGGTAGGCTTTACAAGGATGTAAAGGCATCTAGTACATTTCTGAAGCACACTTTTAAAGTTTGATGCAGCTACTGTTCTGCTGTGAGCCTAGATGGGGGGCAGGCTAGAGTGTGGCTGTGCGCTATAGCAGCACATCAGTCCTGGGCAAGAAGACCCTGGGACTCCGTGCATTGCACCATCTCAACTGGAGCACACACTTGTTATTGGACATTATGAAAAAAAGACAGCTTTGCTTTTTTCCCCCATGTTTTGGAAACATGGATGGGATTTTGTGTTGTCTCTGGCCTGAGAGGCAGGTGATGGTTATCGTGGGTCCAGCCAGTGGGCACACAGAGGAAGTGGGAAGGGGAGACGTGAGGAGAGGTCAGTGTGGAACAGCTCTATGAAACTATCTGCAATAAATCACAGTCTATTTCTCCTGTGCATTCAGTTTGGATATGCTGATCACTGCTAAAGAAATGCCTCGACCCATATGCTACCTGTGTTCGCTGAGTGCTTGCAAACTGTGCACACGTACGTCTGAGTTGATCTGGCAGCTCCTGCTGTGCCAAAGTCAGAGGCTGTGCTGGGGTGGTGGCATCATGCCATCCCCTCTCTGGGCATGGGAGCTGCAGGAGCCTTGCTGACTTCTCAGCTTAGACAGACCCAAAGAAAACCCATGCCTGTTTGGCTACGGTGATGAAGGGAAGCCTTGTGCTAGTGGAGGCAATTTCTGTAACTTCCGAATCTCAGGCACTTAGAGTCACTGAAAACTAAGCATTTTCCCCAAAGCAGGTGTTTTGGCTGAACAAAGGTGTAAAACTAATTGATGTCACTTGCTTTGAATTAACGTATTGAGTAAGGCCATAAAAGAAACAAAACACGTCACTCCCTGTACTTTCCAGAGGCTGAAATGGTTCCTTCTCAAAACATTTGCCTACTACAGCTGTGCTCTGTGAAATGATGATGTAGAGAAGAGGGAGCTGCACTTCGCTGAACCTAAGCACAGTCATTTTGCAAATTCTCTGCAGATCCTTTGAAGGAGGGTAGCATAATGTAAGTGCAAGGTTGATATTAGAAAACAAGAACATTGGCTAAAGTATTTTCTTTGAGGATGAACATTTTCAAGCTTTGAATACCTGCTGCAAGAGTCAGCCTGATTTTTCGTGAAGATATGTGTAGGATATGTTGCCACACCAAGCTCCGTGACTTGGGATTTCAGTAAGGTAAATAGGTACAATAAGGAAAACCGATGCCATTGGAGCATAAGCAGATAAAAATGGTGGAATTATCAATGATGATGCAATGGTCCTGGCCTTGTTACAGAGTAGGTGATGTAGGAGTCATATAAGAAAATGATAGTGTACTTTGACTTCTATAAGAAGTAAGACTTGATAGTGCATGAGATCTTATTCAAGAAGCTTAAAATGGATTAGATCAATTTGGGACATGCTGAAGGGCTTCAAAACAAGTCTTAATGACAGATTTAACCCAGCTGAGGAATCATCACAGATGCCAGTTTCTAGTGAGGACATGCACAGATTGATTCTGTCCCTATGGGATCTAACTCTTTTCATGTCAGTGACCTGAAAGGCAACTTTAAGCTGAATATTAAGATGGCACAATGGCAAAGGGTAAGAGCGATATGAATACAGTCTGTGGATAGTTATATGAGACATTTATATGTACAAGCAAGTGAGTTCCTTGCTCTTCTGGACAAGAGGGCAACAAACTCCAAAAAACCTAGAACAAATAAGCACTTGAAGAAAAAAGAAGATAATGGCTATCTTTAACTGTGAGAGTAGCTAAGCATTGAGACAAGTTAAAAAGGTGGATGGGAGATCTGTCATCACCGCTTTCCAAACCAAGCCAGATGTGGAGAATGAAAACCCCCAGCCCATGCCCTGTGAGCTGTGGTCTGTGCTGCGCTGGAGTTCAGCACCTGACAAATGCCTCCATCTGGCCTGGAAATCTCACACTCAGTTTTGGCTGGCCCCTAGGTCTCTGCAGCTGAAACAGGCTCTGCTCCTCCCTGCTTGGATCCCCCAGCTTGGGGAAGAGCACTGGGTTGTCCAGGGTCAACAGCTCTCCAGAAATAGCAGCCAAGAGTGAATGTTTTCCTGCTAACCCGCTCAAGAGAGAGAAGAGGGGCTGAAGGGGAAGGCTAGCACTGTGCTTGTGTTGTCTGGGCTTTCCAGCTGGCAGGTTTGGGAGCCAACAGACCCTCTGGCCAAGAGAACAGCTGAGGTAGATGTGTTCCCAGTTACACACAGATGACTTGAAGAGTCTGTCACTAACTCCTAGGCTTGTAGGATAACCCAGGTGGGAAGGGAGCTCAGGAGGTGATGTAGTCCAACCTCCTGGTCCAAGCAGGGTCATGGAGAGGTTTCTAAAATGTTCCTGCTTTGATAAGTCAGCCTCCTCTAGCTGTTGCTGGATCAGCCCTGCCAGAAACAACTTAGTTGAGAGGCTGGAAAGGATTTCATAAGTACTGTATCTTTCCCTTCAGATAACACAATATAAATGTCGAATAACCTGCACACATTCCTCTTCTTCCCTCCTACACTTCTGATTAAGAACATAGGCTAGAGGTTTCAGAAACAGCAATGAAGCCTAAATCCCACTGGCTCTTCAGAGCACTTGAAAATGTCCATATTGAGTCAGAGCACACAGCTGGTGATCCTGGGAAGCAGCATCCACCTGCATAAGAGCAGGATGCAGGGAATGCAACAGGGTACTTTCACTGCCAGTTGATTTGCCCACTGGCACTTCCCCAAGTCTTCTCTGAACTATTAGGAGGTTTTCCTGAATGCAAATGATCTGATGTCTCCTTTCTTCAGATCCATTGCCTTTCTGAGCCCAGTCTGAGACACAGTGTGAGGAGTGGGGGCATATAGACGTGAGAAATGTATTTGAGTACAGACAGTACATCATTGAAATTGCTTGCTTTTCTGTGCTGATGCCTTTCACTGGGACACAGATAACTTGATTTGGCACTATTCATTGCTAAGTTTTCCATACCAACCGCAGCTGAGCTTTGTTTAAATGAGGTTTGCTGAAGCTGTGCTGAAAGTGAGTTTAAAGGTTCACAGTCTTTGGAGCAAATCCAGGCAGCTCTTTGTGCCTTCAACTCCCTTGGAAACTACAGAGGGCTGGGGGCCGGGAGAAGATTTGCATGAGCAAGTTTTTCCCCAGTCCCTGCTCAAGTGCAAAGGGCAGCAGCTAGCAGCAGCAGAAATTAGATACCGTGGGCCAGATTCTTCCTCCCCCTCAGGGTCCTCTTACCTGCGTCTCTGCTGTTTTGACCTGAGATCACTCGGTACACATGTAACCGGTGACTTGGGATGCAAGCAGTGAGGAATCAAGCTACAGCGAAGCAGTTTTAGGGGTAACAAACTACAGCCCCTGCTTTGTGCCCTGCATTGTGGCAGTCAGAGAAGAGGAGGCTAATTTTGCTCTGGTAATTTAAGCAGAAAGTCACCTTTAGCCCCTGTAAAGAGCTCCTACTACTTTAGTGACAGCTGCACCTGTGGTGAATGCCCAACACTACTTTGCACAGTGCAGCCACTGTAGAAAACACATTTGGTGTTCCCCTAGCTTTCTTCATCGGCAGTAACCCCCTTACTAAGGAAGCAAGCTGCTGAACCAGTGTGAAAGTTATTTTTATTGTATCTAGGGTGCTTTTGTTCTCCATTCTCTTAGGAGAAAAAGAAAGTCTGGTCACCCTGTGACCTTGGAGCCCATAGACAACTTCAGATTTACCCAATAAATACCACCCAGCCTAGAAACCGGTCTTTAGTCTGAGCAGGAGAAGGATTAGTTTAATAAAAGATGACTTTACCTTCCCCAAAGGCATCATCTTCTTCTCCAGGTGCAGCCAGATCTTCTTGGGTGTGCTGCATCATGGCAAGGACGCAGCTCAGGGAGCAGCCAGAGCCAAGTGCTTGAACCGGCTCCTATGCTACAGCTTGACTGTTTCCTTTCACCGGTTCCCTAAGCATTTTGGTGGTAACAGCTTCCGCATCCGCACTTACGAAAATAGCCTCATTCATACAAGTAACGCTTCTTGTTTTTACGATGGGTTTTGAGGTGGGGTGTCCTTACTGCTGAGAAGCCGATACTGATACTGAGAGCAGAGACAGGCAGGATGGGCAGAAAACACACCCTGCCCTGTCACACAAATGTCACAGCGGGAGCTCTGTCAGCCTGGGGTGTAGGGGTTTTGCATATGAATGCGAATCCTTTTTGGTGGCAGAGGTAGAGGCTGGGAACAACTTGGTCCTGCAGAGCAGCTCACTTTCACCCCAGACACAGTTTGACCCAAGTAACCCCCTGGGGCTCTCTCAGTCCCATGTGTCCATGGTCTTTTTCTCATTTAGCATGGCAGCAGTGACAGTGCATTCTCATCCACACTGAGGTGACCTGTGGCAATGGATACAAGCTGGAAAGCCCTAGGTGATACCAATTGTCCCATGGGCAGATGCACTATCAGGGATGTGATTCTTGCAGTTAGGCTTTCCGAAGTCACCATCCTCAGTGTGTTACCAAACTAAAGGACCTTCCTGATGATCAGGTGAACAACAGAAGAACACCGAATTAGAACTTGCTGTCTGTCAGTAATAGGTATATTATTTGAGTATTGTTGTCACTACAAATTCTGTATTATACTGGTCCATTCAGTCTCTGTGTTTCCTGAACTTATAAAGCAAGTTGGATCCTTCCTGCCAGGTCTCCCAGTTTATGAGAGGACCTTGTCTACAGACTAATGTACTCTAAACTTGCACAAAAATATATTTGGGCTTCAGGGAGTGTATGAGCCTTGCATAGACCTGCTGACTTCATCGAAGCACTCAGGGGTATTCGTGTACATGTGTGTGCACATACAGGTGTGGGGCCTAACACCGCCAGTCCCTCACATCTCTGTTATCAGAAGTTAGGGTGTAATGACAGTAAACCTGTACCAAGATTTGATTAATCAGTCTGGTAATTGCATGTGTCGCCACACCCTTGAAAACGAGATTCCCAGCACAGCAGAGGTGTTCGCTACAGCTTCCCGTACATGACTCAGAAGCAGATATAATGAGCTCATCCCCAATCATTATGGTTTGTTTTTTAAAGCTCAAGCGGTGGGTTTCTGCAGGGCTGGAAGTGGAGACAGCTGGTTTCCTAGGCAGTGCACAACCTGAACTACTCCAGATGGAGAAGACAAGCCAGAAGACGGGACCTGTCCATTTGGAGCACCTGACATAACCCCAGCCCAGGCTTTAGAGCCAAAACTTCCCTGCAAGAGCTGCTCCGGGCAATGGGCAGCTGTGACCTATATCATTTCCTTAAAACAGCAGGAGATGGGTGAAAGAAATCTTGAGGCCATGTAAAGTCAATGGCTGAACTGCCCCAGGGTGCTGTGGAGCATGTCAGCCCCTGAGGATTGGTGTGAACCAGAAGAGGCTTCACAGCTCCTGCTGGGGAAGTTTTTTGGGCTTGAGTAAATTGTAAGATGAGCAATGCTACACATACAGACTTGAATGACTCAAAACAGACAAACAGCCTAGCAGGAAGAAACCTGGAAAGAATATGCTGCAACATCGGTGCTAACTTCACTATGTTGTCCTGCAATTCGAGCTCATTTGTAAATTGGTCATGGGAAGTTTTAGCCATTTACTGCTCCTTCAGAAACACGACGGAGCAGGCTATGTTGTCCTGGTTATTGTGGCAGCCCCCTTTTGTGCCACATTTCCCTGGGACTTAAAGTTATTTCCCTACCCGCTGTTTTCAGTCAGCCTCTCCGGATGCCTGTTACCTTGACAGCCCTTTTTTCTTTTATTTTCAGGAATTAAAAGGCATCAAAAGCTGTCCTCTCTCCCGAAAACAACTGTCACCAGAATGAACACACCAGTCAGGCTGGTGATGAATGGTAATGACTCAGCCTCCACTGCAGATGCACAAAGAGGAGTCTATCCGTTCCCATTTGCCACATCGTCCCTTGACGGCAGCCTCACCTACATTGCTCTCAGCATGAGATGTTCCAAACCTGTTCCCCAAGGGAACAGGCTGCAGTTTTCCTTGAGAAAGAATAAGTTAACATAGACAAAAGCAGCCCACCTCAGGTGGATGCCCTGACCCTCCTTCTTCCTGCTCCATCTTTGCATTTGTGGAAGCATGTTTGCTGTGTCAGTTTGCATGCCCCTGTTTTTGCCATTTCCTGCCCTCAGCCATCCAGCCTAACAATGCGGCTTCCTCCCTGCATTATTTTGTAGCATCTCAGCTTTTTTATTCCCCTCTGTACCCACAGGAAGTACTCTGTCTTGTTCTTGTTGAGCTGTTCCAAAACACGGTAACTTTTCACCTGTTGGCTAGTGAAGCCCTACTTCACACCAGAAAAGTCCCGAATCAAATTTTGCAGTCAAGGCAAAGCTCTCACGTGTGTGTTTTTCATGTAACCACATCGGATGTTGCTCTCAGAAAAAGCCACCACCCATCCTCTAAAAACCTGTCAACAAAAAGCGGGTAGACCAGGGAAGTGTCAAAAACAAGGGCGGATCAAGCAAGAGACAGCTCCTTTAAATCACCCCAACTTTACTCTTCTTACCCTGCAACTTAGTCTATTAGAATTTCTGACCCAGGAGAAAAAAATCAAGTGTTCTGATGTTTTATCTTCAGATACAGGACTAAAAGCAAAGACATCCTTAATGAAAAAGAAGTGTGAAAACTGGTGTCATTTAGCAGTCTGGATGGGGTTGTTTTAATTCATCCCTACCTTAAATTACCAACACCTCCACATGCAGCAGGAAAGATGAGTTGGCCCTTGTCTGCCCTGCTATGCTGGTGCAGAAGGGAGGTGTCTTAAACAGCTTCTGCCCTATTTATGTCTCCTGCTCCAGCGCAAGGAGGATTCTCAGGACACAGAAAGTTGTTTGTCAGAGGGTTAGTCAATGCTCTGCTTTGTCCTGGGGTTACTTTGAGGGTGAAGATTTCCTACGTGGAAAACAAGGAGAGAAAAAAGAGCTAAAGGAAGAGCAGATGACCCCAAGGTGGAGACAGTATGAAGAGGGATATAGGAAAAGGTGGTTGACATCAGTTAGTGGGAAAAGGGAATGTTCACATGGATTTTAAGCCCTTCTGAAAGTTTTACTCTGGGTATTGCTGCAGTTTCAGTTCTCCCAGTAAACATTCTCCTCAGAAACCTGATGGATGGTGCTGCAATAACTTGTTTAGTTGTTAACTCATTTGCAAGTTACAGGGACTCCAGGGACTTAGACTATATTTAGACAGTCTGTGTCAGTCACTGACTGAGCTTAGTACAAGTTTTTCATTTCCAACTCCTGAAACTAAAAACTAAACTAAACTAAACTAAAATAATAATATATTCAATTCCAGAGAAAACTTGGGAGAAATTCTCCCTCTTACTGTCTGGGGGAAGAGTCACCAGACCAGGCCAGTAGAAGACCTGACTCACTCAACACAACTTCACAGACCTTAGGAGCCCTGTGCACAAATCTTCATGAGCCTATAAAATAGACACCGCGTATGTGTGCTGATAAAAGGGCTGGATCCAGGAGCCACTCACCCAGCAGAGAGGACAGTGATTCCTGAGGACCCCCATATTGAATTAGATGGTGGATGTGTGAACTGGCCTCAGGGAAAAATGCACTCTTGTGCCAGGTGGCTGAAGAACCACAGGCTGGTTTACCTAGCCCAGCTGGTGTCAATGTCCAACTTGGACACCTTAGTTTGGGAGCCTGGAGGGAGGTCCAAGCACAGCCTTGTACTCAGTACCCCATCAGACACGCACATCACAGTGAGCAGGAATCACAGCCTGTGTTGTTGCTGCCTACTGTCTCACTTCATGTTCCCTGCCCTTTTGTGATCAGTTGAACCCTTCATATAACCTGAAAGTGAGTTGTATGTGTGTCCATTCAGGTGCGCCACTGCATCTAGCACATCCCACTAGGCCCATCAAAGGTGACTTTGGTTTTCTTCTTCTTCTTCTGAGAGCCATTTTGCATTCCAGTATCATTTCACCTACAAAAATAAATAATCACTTTCTCATAGCAAAATGGTAGTTTAGTAAAAGGGAGGAATAAAACCACCCTGATGAAACCCCTACCGAATGAATATAATCTTGAAAATTGTACTTAGTAAGTGGTTCCCAGTGGTTTGTTATCAAAAGAGAAAAAAATGGTCAAGTGCAATTTTGCAGGGATGGATATGGTATTATTCAACATATCCTTTAATATACTAGATAACAGAATGGATAGGATCACACTCATTACAGTTACAGATACTGGGCTGACAAGGAGCGTACATACACTGGAGGACAGAATGAAAAGTCAAACTGGAGAAGTGGTCTGAAAAAAACTAAATCCAAGAAAACAAGCTATGAAATACTATGCTCAAGCAAGAATAATCAACCTCATAAATGAAGGCTGAGGAATGGCTGCTTAACTGTGACATTTTAGAAAGGAGGCTGGAGGCAGCCAAAGGGGGCTCAACAATAACACCTGAAAATAGCAGGCACCTTGCCATCGGGTGTGATCAAAAGCAGAGGCACAAAGTAATTCAGTCACTGCGGTTGGGCTTAGCAAGGCTTCTGCAGAGGCAGGACATGGCTTTCAGGCATTTCAGTTCAAGGAGGATAGAGGCTGTTTGGTGACAGTGCTGAGGGGATGGACCAGACTGCTCAGAAGGCTAGAAAACGGGCAATGGAGGAAAATATAGGGGGAACCAGAACAGCTTCATTTGAGGGAGACAAAATGAATAAGGGAGATAAGAACAGCCCTCAAGGTCTCTTCTCCATCTCTGTGGTGCACAAGGAGTCATAGACTTAGACTGCAGAATGGAAGAATCAAATTAGGAAGAAAATAGTTAGCAAACTCACAGAAACCAGGAATAAGCAAGTTAGGAATAAACCTTTCCAACAGTCAAGGCAGTGAAGCAGCAGAAGTGAGTGCTTGGGTGAGTAAGTGCTGAGTGAATCAGAGTGCTGCTTTAACTTATAAAGCATCCATAAAGCTTTTGAAGAGCAGAGTAGTCAAGTAGCTATTGGGAATAATATAAGAATAGTTGATCCTGCCTTAGGGAGAGGCGGTGGGAGTAAGGGATCTGTTGAGGTTAGGCTCAATGTTATTTTGCTAGAGCAGCTATTGAGTAATGCTGGATTTCTACTTGTTAGGTTTATTTCTTGGTGACACTTAGCTGAGTGCTAAGTTGTCACACTGCTTGAGGGGTCCAGCGCATTCCAGTGGCTCTTGGCTGGGATGGGAATATCTTTGCTGTTTCAGCCGATTTATGTATCCCTACTATCTTTCTCCTCCTGTATAAATCTTTGTGCCTGGTTGGTTTTGCCTTCATTCTTTCTTCCTAATTATTTTCACACCTATTCTTCTATGATCCAGAGAGGTCATTGTCATCAACAAGGAATAGATGATGGATTTTTCACCCTTTGATGACTAAACCCTATGGGTTTCTCTCAGAAGTATTTCAGATTGTTTTGATAAATTGTTAAAAAGAAGTAGTCTGCAGACCATAACCTGCAAACTAGCTGATGCTATCCCCAGCACAACCATCAAATATGCTCAATCCTGCTAAACATCAAAACCTTATGTTACACATCAATTATATAAGCTTTTAACCAACTTGATCGAATTCTAAAATCGACCAAAGAGGTCTATACAATATTCTAATGCCAATGCCAAAGCCACAAGACCTTCCACATTTTCTCCATCATAGCATCTGTTCATCAAACACATTTTTTTCCCCAAGAGTAGTTTTCTTGGGTGTTGGAGGAAGTACAGGGAAGAAACTCATCTCATTGTTCAGCTCTGTTTTCAATCCCAGGCAAAATATACCACAGGTTGATTCATAGCAATATTTCAGTAATATTTCCGTGAATATATGGAGGTCCTTTTCTTTCCTTTTAGGAAGACTAAAAGAAATGGAGTGAAATTCCCAGGTTATTTACTGTAGACTCCCAGATCACACTGTCAAACAAATGATACCTGTAGATGAATGTCCTTGCTTCATGTTAAATTAGTTCTGCTTGTAGACTATTCAATTTTAGAACCTTTGCTGCTCTTCATTGTGTACGCCTTGTTTCCAGTTTCACCAGCTATTGGAAGGAGTGAGGAGTTGGCCTGCTCCCCTAGTCTTTTCTGTTTCTTCCAGTTCCAACCAGCACAGTGTTTATCCTGCTGCTGTGAGATGGCTTTTGACAGTATCGACCCCAGGCATTTTGCAAGACAATGTGGGGGGTTTTCTCTGACAAAGGAATTTCTGAAGACGTTCTCCTATATTCCCAGAAACTGGGTAAGATGGGCAGCCGCAGTTGTGAGACGTCTCAGACCCTGCCTGGGGCAGCTGCAAAAGGAGCATGCAAGCATTTCTCTGAGGCTGTCTGACTTAGCCACTTCCAGCACCAGGACACTGTCAAGTCTCAGTATTTTCCCTTGCCCACAAAGCATTCCTTTCATCAGTCCATAAAATGCTATGAATCACTATTTAGCATGATTCTGTGGCTCTCTTACAGAGCAGTACTTAACAGGGGCTGCCACAGATAATGTTCCAGGCAGAAGTATGAAATTCAGGCCATGCCTTTGCTTCCAAACTCTGTTAGAGAAGAGTGCAAACACCACAGGTTGTCTCTGGCAGGGATTTCTCTGCTAGACTCTGTATTTGCAGGAGCTGGAACAGCTCTAAACCTTTGTTTAGCAGGAAAGTGTTACTTCAGTCTTGCTCACATAGGTAACTGCAGAGCTGGTATGGCACCAGCTCCACCACAGGCTGGAGACACTGGTGAGGTACTTTGATATCTAGCCCAGCCTGGTTTCCATCAAACCTTTGCTGATACTGGCTCCTAACTTAGGTGCTTTCTCAGGCCATGTGTCACTCACACCTGGTACCAAGGTGCCAGGGAATCAGAGCATTTAAACCCAGACTTAGTGGCAATGCCAGCACTCAAGCTTTTGATCCTTCCCCAGTAGTGTGTTCCAATCCATTCACTGCAGGTGACAGTGGCACAGTTGTTTTAAAACTGGAGCATCTTTGTGTTAGAAAAACAAACAGATGCCTCCAAAAGATGGAAAAGCTCTCTTATATTGCCTGTTTGGTGTGTGACAGCAAAGAACTTATTTGTTAAGGACAAGAAGGCTGTGAAGTTGAGGCAGACCTATTCTGTTCTTGCTTTTGGGCAGCTTCTTGAGAATGTCTTCTGAAAAATGACCCACTTTGTATGTGCAACCTCCTGGTACATC